AATGAACATAAGAGAACCCTTTCGATAAAAAAAAAATTGGTTCACAATATTACGATCACATTTGATTAAATTGCCTCACACACAATAATATGGTCGAATTGTGAACCTCTTTTTCTATGGAGTTGGTAGCATGTTTCAAAAATTTTAACCATAATTGATACATAATAATCGATAATAAAATAATGCTATAATATTGCTTATTTTACGAAATATCTAATTTTCGCGGCGAATTTTTATGTACGTAACGTGCAGGTGGTATACGCATTACCATACTTCAGACATATTTAATAGTTCTTTCCTTAGGAATTCTTACCACACGTGTAGTAGGTATTACAGGTACTGTTCTGTACTATATATATATATATATATATGTATATGTATATATATATATATATATATATATATATATATATATATATATATATATATATATATATTATGCAACTTAGAATGGCAAACAAGCTGACGGTCCACCTGATGGAAAGTGGTAACCGTCACCTATAGACATGAACAGTACCATGGACATAACAGAGTATACTGTTTCTGAGGACTCAGGTGTTATTCCTTTGTACCCTGTAAATTCACGCCATATCCCACCCTTCAAACCGAAACACAGCCATGCAAACAACTGCTTCACGGTTGAAACACGAGTGGGACAGAAGTACCCAAGCAATCGACTTTTGTACAAAGTCCCCCTCTGGTAAAAAATATATTGCTATAAAGGCCCGTACATTGGTATGTCTTAGGTATTAATGACTGGGATTAGTATATGTAATAATTTTATTAAAAAACCGGTCAAGTGTGAATTCAATTCATCCGCCGAAGATGTCATATATAAAATAATCTCAAGAATATTTTATTTTTAGATAATATTTGAATATATTGCACACTCGCCGTTGCTTCAAATATACATCGAAATACCATGGAAAATAAAACCAATTATTTTAAATGGTTGCACATAACACGCACAAATAAATCTGTAAATGAATAGAAAATTTTAAATTACAGTGCTAAAATATTTACATTCCTCTGTAAGAATGTCATGTTGCAATTAAAATTGTATCAACTCCATCTATTAGCTACACAAAAAAATCCATCGATAAATTAAAGTTAAATGACTTCCTACGAAATAGATACATAATAATTATTAATATAAGTAAGAAATTTTATCTTTAGGCCGTATATGTGTCTAGAAAGCCGACCAAAATAATTGTTGGTTTTTGGAGGTTTTGTATAAACTCTCAGATTCTCATTTTATTTTTTCTGTTATATTCATGAATAATTTCACTAATATTATAAATGCGAAAGTGAATTTGTTTGTTATTTATTACACTCTCATGCCTAAGCATCTAAATAAATTATGATAAATTTTGGTATAAAGATAGACGTAACCCTGGAAACAGTATACAATAGGCTGTTTTTCTTGCGAAAAACTTATAGAAAGTAGGGTGAGTGAGGAGTAATTTTTGTATGAAACTGTTATTGCATTGTCTGGTTTGCTTCAAACTTTGCTTATAATTTAATAATAATAATAATTTAATTTGCTTTTATGGTTTATAATTCATAATCCAAATATACATATTTTTTTTTCTTCAAACTACTCCTTAAAGGGGATGGGTTTCTTTTTGTAACTATTTTATTTCCACAACATTAGATTTGTTGAACAAAATCAATATCAACGCGAGCAAAGCTGCATATAATAGTAAGTACTTTTATAAACTATAATTAAAAAAAATATTTCGCTACGCAATCTAAAGAAATAAGCAGGGAATCATTATTTAACGCATTTTTATTTAAGCTAAAAATAAAAAATAAAAAAGTAATTTTAAAATATACAAACAAAGCCCTTTCATACAATATCCCACTTGAACTAGTAAGTTCATTTTGAAATTTTAAGTACTCCTTGTGGATAAACTCCTTGTAGCAAAGAAAATAATTATATTTTTTTTAATTTTTCAATTAAATTTATTGCAAAATATATAGTCTAAAAACATGAATTAACTGCTAAAATATAACGATGTGACCGAAAGACGGATAGAGAAAATCGCACCAGTGATTAGTTTTCAGACTTTCAACCAAACCAAACCTAACCTATGTTTCTGATCACGAGTGTGAGTATTACAAACTAAACAACTTTAAATATGTAAGAAACGTTCTGAAATTATAATTATTTACCGTGAGTACTTTAATGAAAAAAAAAATAGATCAACTCACAACATACATACAAAAAACTTAAAGCTAAAACATACTTGTAGAAATAAAATATAATGTAAATTTTGTACAGAAATTCTTGGTGTCTGCATATTGGTTTTGTTTTGGCAAAATGACGATAACGAGTAGAGCAATAACGATGGGATATTTTTCAATCAACTGCCAACGAAATGTTCATGAGGAGCAAATGATTAAAAGCGCCAATAAATTTTGTATAAAGCCTGCAAACAAGCGGGTTCGCGTTGACTGCCCATGAATACTGCCAGTTTATCGCGGCAAATTTAAATGCCCTATCAAGTGCAATTATAGTGACAAATGAATGACAAATTTGTTATCTTTTAAGCAATTATTACAACATGAAATGACAAACAAGTTGACCGGTTCATGCAATATCTTTGCGGACCTGTCATCTGACAGAACAGTACTAAGGACCTTGCGAAATACATAGAAGTACCCATGCTAGTCCTTATTCGATATTGTTTCTGGTGACTAATAATTTATTTTTATTAATATTCTTTCTGAATCGTACAGCCTTAGCATCCGGTATCATTCATTTCCAAGAAAAATCCGAATTTATTTTAGAGTCGATTCGATTGACTACACGCATTCTGTTTACATCCGGAGGGAAATTTAATCAATCAGTCCCTAACAATTACTCTGAATAATCGTCGGGAATGTTGTACTATTTTATATACTAAATTGAAACGTTAATGTTACCTGAGATAAATCACAATCACTCTCCTATATACAATATCTTAATTAAAAGTGCGCGCGATGACGTCGTCATGATAAAGTCATAATACTCTATCTCCGTTCCAAATACTGTCAAGGAGATGTTTCAGTCTTGTTTGTAAATTGGGCCTATTAAATATGTGCTAAGTATATATGAAGAAGTGTCATCCTTCGTGGTCGTTAAGAAACCAGCTTAATATTAGGTACTTTATTAAATATATCAATCATTAATAAATAAAATACATATTAAACATATTTTTGTGGCTAATATTTTTCTTCACTTTTTAAGATACTGTACAGTAACCGGGTCGACAAATATTGCCTTTTATATCAATTGTTGGGCCATTAATGTGAATATTTCAACATTCAAGAATTGAAAGTAAGTCTACGACCCATAAAATGCCGGTCATTTGTCGTAACATAATAGTTGATACATAAAGCATTCAGAGGTTAGTTTAAGCAGATTAAATTTGATCCGCGTTTATAAACTATTCTGGAAAATTCGTGATGCATGTATGTACCTTATCCGCTAACTATAAGGACGTATTAATCTTACGGGATAAAAATAATCACAGTAGTATATTAATTATAACACCCCTATACTTGTGATGGTATAATAAAATACTTACCACTTGGTTGTTGTAAATTATCTAAACAATATTTTACCAACATAAAAATTTTTTTCCAGCGATTGTAAACATGCTATGATTTGTGTAATGGAAACAATAAACATGGTTAACTAATATTGCGTGGTTTTATTGATTTCTTATATATCTGCTTTGCGAATTTGCACAGCGAAAATGTAAGTGTATGATTCAATTATTTATATAACTTTAAAATTATTGTGATTAATTTTAAAGTTACATAGATAAAACAAATTAATATAATATTGTTTGTTGTATCCATAAACTCATCAGTAAAAAATTGATGAGTATATGGACACAACAAACACACACGCACACACACACACCCACACACATACACACACTCTGTACACATACACTATACACACACATACAATACAGACACACGCGCGCGCATGCACTCGCACACACTCGAACTCGCACGAATACGAATGCGTGCGCGAAGCCGCACGCGCATCTATACACACGGTAATACGCACTTAATTAACAAAGTAACATTTGTATTAACACGGTCACTAATGTAGCAGTGACATGCGTAATTTCTTGTAGATACTTGCGTCAGCTATTTACGTCTGTGTATTTATTTAATGTTTTTCCCTTATATCCTTCTAATATTCTTATTAAAAAGATATAACTCATATAAATCAACTTCAAATTGTGACTTTCTTCCAATTACAAAATTTTGCGCTAAAGCAAAAAACACTTTAATAGCTAAAAAAAGTTTATGAGAGGTTTGACATTTTATGAATGTGGGGATAAAAAAGTGTTTTGGAGAAATAATAAAAATCATGTTTGTTATTTATGCAAAAGGTTTTTTTAATAGATAATAATGCTATGGTAACTCCGCCCGTACCATTGAGAAATGATAGATCAGGACGAACGGAGATCAGTTAGCCCATCACGATGAACTCCATAAGCATTAATAAATATGATTTCCAAGAAGGACCGCGTGGAGGTCTTGCTGAAAAGATATATTGCTAACAATGGAACCCATTACCAAAAATCCTTTTCCCCCTCTGCAAAAGACTTATCCCCTCATTCATTCTAAATTGTAATCGTTACTGTTTCTATAAAAAACATACGATAACAATTTTCATATTTTAAATAGCAATTCATATTTTAAATATCTATTCATAAATATATCTAATATTTTATATATGTACATATATATATATATATATGTATAATGTTTACATATATGTGTATATTATATCAAGTGCCAACACACATTTCATTCCCACTTTTTAAATATACACTATCTAATGCAGTAAATACAGTAATGTAATAAAGTACTGAATGCAAATTATAGGTACACGTAGTTTTCTCAAGAAACGTTGCTTTGAGCGATAATGAAACCGCGAATATGCTTTGCGAAAAAACAAGCAATAACGAGAGAATTTTCCCTCGTTTCAGATACCGAAAGAGATTCGTGAAGGGAAATAGATTGTGAAACGTATTTGTTGTGTGCCACTAGTGTGATGGAGTGTCAGTGTGCGCTTTACTTGAAGATAGACAATAAACAGTTACAGTGAAAGGTAATAAAGTCTTTTTTGAAAGATTTATAAACGTCGATTAAGTCGCAACGTTGTGTACTAATTAATTACACATAATGTTCGGTTGAAATTACTTTTAAAAAAAGATTCTACTATTTGAATTTATAAGTTATTTTAGAGTAACAATGGAGTCAATTCTGTGACATTATTCTCTAAAACGTTATCTCTAAAACTAAAATTTTAATATAATAAAAGTAGTTTAATAATACTATTATAATTCACCGAAAACTAAATAAAAAAATACAATAGTTCTGACTCATATTTACATGAAGTTCATATAGATTATAAATATAAACTTCATGTAAATATTTAATAAAAATTTTATTTTTGGAAATTAAGTTAATAATAACATTTCCGAATAGAAGAAGATTACATTTTATTGGCAAATTTCCCTCTTTAGTTATTTCATGTCAATTATTTTGTTTAATTCCACTGCCAATAATATGTGTATGACTACCAACTCGCAAAGATGTCAAACTATTACTTCCAGAAGTTCCACAACTTTCCATATTAGCCATCAATCTACGACAACCATTTTGTTCACGCACGTTTTGCAACACGTGTGTCACTTCTAAACGAGGCATCTTCCGGCAAATTAATGTAATTATTAATTTGTATTAAATGCAATAAACGTATATGTAAATATTACAGGAAAAATGAAACGTTATTTCAAACTAGTATTTTCTTTGAGAAATTATCAAATATATATATATATATATATATATATATATATATATATATATAAACAAACGCGTGATAAACACGCGATGTGTTTGTCGCGTGTATAAATAATAATGTATTTATTTACTCGGATAGTCAAGCAGCATTACTTTCACTCGGGTAGCAGAAATAATATTATCTTAAGATAGAACCCTAGTCACTGAAACAAACATTCACAGAAATGAAACTACAGAAATGAAGCTGACCAATTAGCAAAGGCAGCGGTAAAGAATACCAAAATAGGACCAGAACCTTATTGTGGCATGTCTTGAAACTTAAAGCTCATACATTTCAAACTAGAAAGCTAAAAAATGGCAATTAATAACTAGCTCTTATTGCCAGGATTAAATCAAATACCTCGTTAAGGGGTTTTCAGAAAATTACTTTAAGGTAATGAATTATTTTGAGTAAAAATAATGTAAGTGTAACAACTAGGGCTATGCTTAAAAAGTATTTGTTAAGTTTGTCACAATGAGGAAGAAACGCTGCAACAATTGATTTGCGATTCTAGCTCACTCATACATAAACGACATATCTCCTTTGGAAAATACACTTTATATCTCGAAGAGATAAAAAACATCATATGAATTAGCAGCGAACTTAAAAGGAAAAAAAAGAACGAGCACAAAAGGTCGCAGTGTCACAGGTTTTTATGCTTGAAATAAAGCCCGTTTTCAATAATAATGCGACGAAAAAATTTGCTGGTAAATAGTACCTACATACCTGCTTTTTTATTGCCGACGTTTCGACGTAGATTGCACCACATCGTGGTAATGAGCAGACTAAAATGAGCGACGTCTTCGTCTGGCAGCCCGCGTAGTCACTTTGAGTACCCACACACTATCACTAATATTTTCTATATTCACCCTACTTACTTTTTCACTACGTTTAATTCCAAACTTTTTAATATTTAATTCGTGTAAACAACGCGAAAGTTTAAAACTATCATGGTAATAATATGCTATGAGGATAGACCCATGGCATATTGTGGTATAACAGTGGAACGTTTAGGGGTATTTAAGTATGTATACTTATTTATCACTATTCTGACACACTTCCTTGACTGCTTATACAAATAATATTCGCTGAAGTATTACTAACAAAGTACAATAAATATTACGATCAAAGTGACCTATAAAAGTTAGTTGATGTGTTCACTGGCTCGAATCCTATAGTGATTAGTCAAGTAAAGATATTGAGCAATATATCACCGGTACACAACGATGTTGCCTTCCATTGATATTATTTTTCATAGTTATTAATACAGGACCGTGTGGTTCTGGCATAAAATGGGCCATCCCTTACTTTCCTGTAATTGTCATAAAAGGCGACTAAGGGAACATAATGGTCGAGGGATGGGCAACAGCGTCCCTCTTAAAACATCACCAATAATTTAACTGCGGTTGTCAACCCGACTGCCAAGTGTGACAACTACTGGTAATACCCCCCAAGGGAGCGGCCTATATTCAGCAGTGGACAATTAACGACTGATATGGTGTGGTATAGTATCTTATTAATTCTATAATATTAAATCTATCTTTATATTTTCATATCTTTTCTAAAAAGTGAGTAGTTTAAGTAAAAACTCATACATAATATAAAAAGTTCACCCCATCAGTTCACTAACACAGAAAATAAATGCTAATGGCAACTAGAATATTTTTTTGTTATTTTTCGTAGAAAGAACAATGGCAAGAAAAGTTAGTAATTGATATTTGTATTTTAAATAATTATAATTGAAAGTTATGGACTAATTTTGTTTTTAAAATTGTAACTTTATAGTATATTATTATTACTAATTGAATTAAAACAAGCCAATAAATTCTCGGAGAAATTTTTTTTCGTGTATAGAAAAGTGCTAAATGACGCTTTTTAAAATTTTAACAGTACTTTGACATGGTGTATCTGTATTCACAAACAATTTTATGCATTGTACTTTTAGTCTCAGTTTAACATATCGCTCTTTCTCTCAGTTTTATTTGTTTGGTAAATCTATCAGTGTTTATCTTCTTAGGTACTGTTTTCTTTTCTTTTGTACTCTCTATTCTTTTGCCTAACCGCAACATTAAAGAAACACATATATCTCTGTTCTTTCATTGTTTTTAAAGCGATTTAAAAATGATAATACTTAGTTTTCTTTTAATTTCTCATTTATTCAAATTTGAGGAAAGATACTGTAAATAGAGTTTATATGTATATTTAAATATACTGTCAGGTTCAACGACCTTCACTAAACCACGTATATGACTACGTACGAGACCTTTACTAATCAAACAAAACAAGAGCTTAATGTCAATTTGATAAATCATGAATCTTAATCATAACCTCATTATATCTTTATTGTTTATTTAAATGCTAACAAAACATGTGACGTCACTGATATTCTCTGAACTGTATTGGATCTTAATGAGATGAAACAAGGAAAAAATATTTTATAAAGGTAGAGTTACCCTAAAATAATAAAACATAATATTGTTCGTGAATACAATTAAACTACAAAGTAATGCTCGTAAAATACTCGTAAAAAGAATATTTACACTAAATATAAATTTAGAAATTGAGAATAGAAAGTGGATTAACTTGCTTGTCTACTCTACTTTAAAGTTTCTTTGAAGCGCACTCTATAATAATAAATTGAAAGAGGTGTATGTATTTAAAAATAGCAGTTTTTACACAAATACGTGTAAAACAAGAAAATAAAACAGCTCTAAAATCAGCGAAAGCACTCGTGAAATTGAGCAACTCTCCCGAAAAAATTTAAAGATAAAAAAATCTTGCTCTTATCGAAACTGCAGTCACTCGAGTCTTTATAATAAATAAGCTCGACAATCATTTTCATGTATTGAATTATCTTCCTCCAAAAACTTTGCATAGAAGCATTGATACTATTACAAAATTTGAGACTTTAATATACCTACATAATTGAAATGCTTAAGATATATATATAGCATAAACTTTTGCTAAAAAGCTTTTGTAAATGTGCTTTTAATTATTATAAAAGATTATACATGATCAAATATAACTACAAATCAACAACAATCTACTCAAGATAAAGGATAATAAGTATCTTATTTATCAATGGATATACTTATGTGAAATAGTACTCGATATTACATAACATAGCCTGATACTTTATAATATTTTATTCTTCGTCTTATGAGCTTCATATTGAAACTTATCACGAAATCCATTTGAAAATATATGATTTTAAATTTGTGCAGCCATTCAATGTAATTTTTAGACAGGATTTATTTCGATAGATTTTCGTATTTTCCTGATATTTCCTCGGCATTGCAACCATCATTTCTGTTCTGATAGAAATTGATGTAGTTTGTAGTTATGAATGGTTATGAATAAGTTATTATCGAAGGTGTTTATTAATATTATTTATTTAATCTAAGCAATTTACAAAAAAGCAATTTACAATCTAAATACTTAAAGCATGTTTAAAGCAGTAATAAAACGCTACATTTCCTATCAAATGCTGAATGCCAGATTACAAATATGAATAACAATGAACGAAATCTTCAATATTATATGCTTTTTTTTATTTTAATTTGCATTTTTTTTTCTAAATCTGATTATGATTTCAGCTAGGAAACACTCCAGTACTGTCTATAAATAGTACAATTTTTATCATATCTTAAAATGAATATTAAGTAACTAAATTCAGAATAACCCTATAAAATTAAATATTTTAATTTAACATTAATAAAACCGTCTTTACACGCTTAATTATAACGTTTTTCGATTTATTTTTTTCATACAGTTATACGAATTGTATTTTAATTGTTACAAAATCCAAAAATAATAACATCGTTAACAGTTAACGTCTTGATTGCGTAGAACAAATTTTAATTCTATCACACAAAACATAATTGCTCAGTTGGGATCTCACCCATATTAAAGTAAGTTTATTTAAATAGCCCCAGTGTTATCGGAGCCCGTCTTTATCAAGAGCTTTATAGTTGTTTTATCGTGAATACGCCTGAATATAATATATTACGTTTGAAGTTGTAGCCTCTTTTTGCTTGGAAAAGTTTATTTTGCTGTCGGTTTCAGAGAATTTCATTTCAGTGAGTTTGTTGTGTGATATAATTATAAACATAAACCTTATTTGAAAACAGACATATGAATGTACAAATAAATAAAAGTATTTATATAATATTGATGAATTTTACATATACATATCTATTCTACAAAGAAACAAAAAGGAAAAAGTATTAATAAAGTAGAAAACTTTATGAAAAATACTGAATATAGAAAGAAAGATAATTGAGTTAATAGGGATGAAATTTTTATTTTTAAGATAAGTTTATTTCAAGCGATTGTACACTAGTACTAGGTATTGTATACTAACACGATAACTTGAGCGATAGACTAAAATACAAAGTAGAAAATTTCAGATTGAACTGTTGTTCTCTTGAAAATGGAAATTGCTTATAAAGAGAATTTATGTCTTGAGAATAGAGATAACATTACATGACAATAAAACGTAATTAATTAATAACCTTAATCAAAAAGGATTACTACAGATATTTATCTATCCCGTAAAAATTTCAATAAGTTTTGTACTGTAGCTTATCTCCGTTACAATTGTTATTTCAAACAAGGTTTTATTGTCATTATTATTAACAAAATTTTAATCATTTTACAAGTGCTATGGTCTCAAATATTCTCAAGTTGCGCTTCTTATTTATACACATATGTACGAATATTTAACGAATGTTTATTCCATTTTGTTCCACGAAAGATCTTACTCATTTTATACTTAATAAACATGAAATCTTATTGTTAAAAGTTTCAAGAGTAGATATTAAAGTCAATCCAGCTAATCTTCTAGTTAAAATATAATCTTAAAATTAGTAACAACAAGCAATTGTCATTTGCAAGTATGACGGATATAATTAATTCAGTAATTTATGCTTCACAATATACTCAGTTATAGTGAATTTAATAAAGTGAAACCCAATCGATTTTCCCTAAGTTCAAGGTTATCATTTTAGTCATAAAGTAATATTATTATATACTCAAATGCGAAAGAACTCTTGATTTATCGCCATCTTATAAATGGCTTGTTTTCGTAGAAGATACGCCAAAATAAGTATTTCGTTTACGTCCCGCCACCGTTTCTGTTCGCCCTACAATATTCAAGAGAAGGAAAACAGCTATAATTTATACTGAAGGGGACACAAATAGGGGATTTCTAGAATTAGAAAGAGACACATGTTAAAACAGGAGACTGTTGACGTAGCATTGTTGAAATTATGTGACAGAACGTGACCATTTTATTATTTGTTGTAACAGTGTGAATATCTTTCAAAGTAATTAAATTTGTGCCTTGAAATTCAGATTAGATTGTATTTTATCTAATTGTAATTCTTGATGCCTTGTAGTGATTTCGTGACTTGTGTTTCAATTACAATTTTCAACAAAAAACTTTAATTTATATATATTTAACAAATAAATAACTTTAAAGAGTTGATTATTTTGAAATTTTTCAAAGTAATATTATTTTATGAGTTAAAGTATGTTACAATATTGTGGTGAAATTTGGTTATCGTTATGAGTCTGGCATAGAATGAGCCACCCCTTTCTTTCCCGTGAGTATCGTAAGAGGCGACTAAGGGAATTTAATGGTCTAGAGAAGGACAGCAGTGTCTCTCTTGAAACGTCATCAAAACCTAACTGCGATTGCTAACCCGCCTGCCAAGCATGGCAACTAGAGGGAGGCCTATGTTCAGCAGTGGATGGCAAATGGCTGATATGTTGATGATGATGACTTTAATTAAAACTGTTCTTTTCTTACTTAGTTTCCCAATGCTTTTGAATACCAATTATTTATATGGCATTATTTATTTATTAAAGGAATAAATTTTAATTGCGATACTATTTTCAGGTGGCAAAGGTGGTGACCGGTCGAATAATATGTAATACGTCACAATTGTGACTAACCACAGACAATACGCTGTGCGAGTGGCAACTAGTGGGTTAAGCTCCAAACGAAGATGGGCAAGAAGAATTCGAAACTCAAACAAGATACGATCGACAGACTGACGAGCGCCACTTACTGTGAGTAGCTTAATGTTAACTCTATTTTAAGCACACTTTTAGGCTCTTGTGTTTATACCATTTTAATTAAAAAACCACTCGTCTTTGTTTAAAAAATAGAAAGTTTTCTGTATTTAATGTTAAATTTAGTTATAGTAAGTGTAAAGAGACATTAAACTTTAAAATTTTTTTAATTGGTTACATATAAGACTTATTTATTCACTTAATGACAACACGCTTATTGTCGAAGTAACGTCTAAGCATTGATATCAACAATCTTTATAATACACATTACTACTAACTTTACCTGAATTTTCCCGTAAATATTTAGGTGAAACTATTATAAGGTAGTATGAAATTAGACATTAAAATAGTAGGTAAAGTGAATCAACTTGTTCTATGATGGGTAACCATTTGTATTGGTACTCTACTCACACAATCCGACCTAAAACATATTTCCCTGTTTATTTAACAAAATTGATACAGTTCAATAGTTGTCACTTTAAATTGAATCGACCAAAGCGAGCACTATATCATGTACGTTGTAGTAGTCAGTAAATTTATTCAATACGTCTATAGTAGTCTATACATCTGTAGCCCTCTTTCAGCAAACTACGAGTATCCCTAACGGACAACTCAGCTGTATTTCATCCAATTTAAGCACGTCACTGTTCTATACTGACTATAAAACTATAGTTGTTATTACACATATATTTTCGTATATATAATATTTATCTTCTATTTTCAAAATGGTACCCGTATAATACATATTGTCATATAAATGAATCTACAATTATAATATAATATACTTACAGAAATATCAATAGCTAGATAAACACATTTGTAAGACTATATAAAGTTTTTATTTACTATTGTGCCAGTTATAAATAATTACAATATATTGAACATTAATACGTGTTTATTAAGTTCTGAGGAAACAAAACATATTGCTTTAATATTAATTAAATAGCGCTTAATTAAACACATTGTTCTGTTTATAAATGAAAATATATCGTTCCTTTTAAGGTTTTGCCAATTGAAGATATTCGTTTCGTGGAATGTTGCCAATTGAAATATAAGACGGCAAAGCGAAACATTCCTTTACTTACTGTCATCCGCATTCGTTAATTAACGTGAAGGTGGACTGATGATTAACGAGAAAGCTTGGCCCAAATTCCTGCAGGAATTAGTACGTTTGGCAAGTTGCGCATTTAGCTAGATTTAAACGAGGCCTCGTCCTTGCCAAGTGGCATCATAAGTGAAAATCGATTCATCAGCTCTCGCTCTCAGCTGGATCGTAATTAAAGTCGGAACAATCGCGGTTCCATATTCTCAGCGATTCCGTTACTACGTTTTATTCCGCGACCGTGAAATTTACCCAAAGGATTAGTTGCTCTCATTTTATGACTATTTCATTTGAGGCAGCTAATTTATGATTTTAATTTAATTTAATTCCTAATTTATTACAACTTTATACTGCTGACGTTTGTTCTAGTGTCTTGTGCATTTAAAATTTATTATTTTTAAACGTAATGAAATTATAATCACTTATTATTTAACAAATAAATTCTGAGATTTATATAAAACAAGTTTTTACTAAGCCTTCAATAAAACTTCTTGAATTTTTTAAGTTGGTAGGCGGAAGGTGTTGTTGAAATTAAATTCGGTTGATAACTTTCCTATTAAAATATTTCCTGATATTATTTTCTCTTCAATATTTATACAGATAAATCTACGAAATTATATTTGCATCTATTGATTTTCTGTAAAATATTTAAAATTGTTGCACCTTATAGAGGAGAAACGTCTTACACTAAGTTTGCATATACGGCGTTGCTACACACAAATATCTATCCAATATCAACTTGCAGAATAATATTGAAAGCATTAAACTCTTCAAATTTAAAAAGAAACATTCAAATTATAACACCCAAATCATTAAAGATCAAGAACTTGAGTTTCAGCTATTAAGCTGCTATAGTTGTTTAACTATATTTTATAAAGTTTACTATTATTATTGTCTATGCCCTAATTCTAAGAAACAGCACTATTTGAGAAAATATCACAGTCGGTACTGTACATTATAATCTGATATCCATGATGGTGTTCATGTCTATACCTATATAGCAATAGTTACTTCCCATCAGGTGGACCGTCAGCTTCCTTGTCATTTCACGTTGTATAAAAAAGTTATATATTCACCCTTCATAAAACTTTTTAAAAGCTACCGCTTTGATGAGGCTTATTTACCGCCTTGTTCACAAGAACGACAATGTCTCTCACTTCATCTTTCCCTTTTAGGGTAGGACGATATAACAGAACTCCGATCCTGGCATATTTCATGTTATTTGTTTCCTCGACATTTATATAAAGTATAAATATGCAGGTAATGTGAAAATTGTTAGCATCCTTTGAAGGAAGCGTTCTCCCAGTGAAACTAAACATTTTCTTCAATGAAATATGGGTCAATAAATGACAAAAAATTGTGTGCCTCTCATAAGAATACGGCACGTTTAGCTGTTGGATTAGTTTAGGAGATTAAATGGATAATTCATCTTTAAACGCTCGAGTTAAACTTTTCATTTTGCATAACTGCCTACCTACAAGGTTTGTACCTATTACTTCAAGTTTAATTCAGTTGATTGTACGTATTAACGATGTCATATGCAATTTGTTAAATCTTGTTTATATTTGTGAAAACCTGTAATTGGATTTTCGTTTTTATTATGGTTTTTTTACAATGAAATTTTTTAGCTGTTGATTTCTTTACAATAAATAGAATGTTATTTTAGTATCATAAAATTTATACTTTAATAAGTTCTATATAGATAGATTCTCAATTTTAAATAACGCTAGCAATTCCGGTTTCACCATACATGACCGTCGATAGTAATCTTATGGCCTCAATCAAGAAGTTCTCCGACTAAGAAATGTGCAATTATCTCTACTTAGTCATCTAGTCATCTTCCGCACAGATCCAGACGCGGGCCGGAAATCCCTGGGATTACAGGGATTACAATACTATTAAATATTCTATGATTGTTGGCAGGAGCAATTTATTTTATAATTATATCTTAATAGAGAAGATACAGATTTTTTAATTGAACTTGTGAATGTGTCGTTGCCTAAAGTTGTAAATTGTGTACAAAGTTTAAACATTTGGACATTCACAGGAGATCTGTGTCCATATTCCCGCAAATTGTTTGTTTACATCTGTATAGGTACATATTTTCATTTTCAAATATTTAAACATCATTCTGAAAATGTTCAACTGTTACATATTAAATTAATTATGAGTATTTACAGTTTGTTCTGTGGAAATAAATATATAAATTTTGTCAAATTCATTATGTCGCATGTTTTACTTCGAAATAATAAATAATATTAAAACCAATGCAACAATATCATTATTTAATATCATGTGCGTGCTGAAAAGCAATGAAAATTTGACACGCCTATATAGCTTTGTTATTTCTAGTCATTGGTTAATAAATCCTCTTAAATTAATGGCAAAACAATCTGTCGGTAGGTACGTTTTCGTTGACTGTTTAGTGACCATTACCGTTTCGTTCTATCCTAAATACCTATGCGCTATTGCATAGGTAATGAATGGTAATGACGTAATATTTATTAACGTATAATGTTCTAACTCAACTTGGAGAGATTCGTCCAAAGAAAATAGAATAGATAGAGGTACTGTATTGAGATCGTTATTCGTTATAAGTAGGTACATCGGATAAAGGATAGTTCTAGCTAAGTCTTGTCTTAAAAACATTCGATATGATAATATAAATCCGTTTTCAAGATTAAACAGTAAATGTAGTCTCTATATATCTGAACATAAATTTACGTTACTACTATATTAGCATTCACATCTATGATTTTTATTAAAAAAATTATTCCATACAAACTTATTGACGCATACGTGAACGCAAAAGTAACGTAAACCTTTATGCGACTTACACATATTATGTAATATAAATAATATTTTTACAGATAACCAAATTATAACTTTAATATTTATTAGAAGGCTGGCTCGAAGGTTTTATTGATTAGATAAATGATGATAAATGTAGCTATACAGACGTCATTTCGGGAAAAAAATATTTCCGGTTTGAAGCTCTATCGTCCAGGCACTGTGTTTATTAATAGATATGAGTATTTTTTATTATAGATATCTAAATATCCTTTCAAATGAAAGGCTTTTGGATTAGATGATCCATTGTAGTATTTTTTATTGTCCAAAAATAAGAAGATATTACAATCATAATCAGATATGTACTAAGCTAAGACGGTATTAAAAATAAACAACAAATTCGGTTTGTAATACATCCAAAATTTTTTTAAGAGAGATACATGTGCATATCGTAATATAAAAAATATTCTCACACAGCTTTAGCACTGGTTAACCTTTTTATTATTTCATTCATTTTATTTTTATGTTGTAGAATTTCCATAAGTTTAAACCATTCCCCTTATTTCCATTTTAAATTTTAAGTTTGTGAAGCAAAAAAATCTAAACGATTCCAGTTTACAAAGATACATGTGAATATTACAAGATAAAAGAAAACAATTTTTCTGACTACCAGAGTTTTTGATCAAAAAAGCTCCAAAAACAACTTTAGTTTTACAGTTTTTGACCAAAATTATGTACAATTATTTTTTTTTTCAAAATAATATTTTTTATAGGCTCTATTGACCCCGCCTTAGCTATCGGTATATGCTGATCCTGCATCAGTGAGAGATGATAGATGAGGATAAAACCTGGTCAGTTGGCCCATCGTGATGCATTCAACAAGAATTGCTAGAATGGTTTCCAAGGAAAACGCGTAGAGGTCAAGTTTTAGTAGTAAAGGGATTGTTAGACCCCATTACTAACAATCCAATAACAACTCTTAGTTATCTATTTCGTATAAGAAATGGAAGAAAGGTTTTTAATGGCGAACGAGTATCACTCGTACCTGACCGTTTTATTTATAATAAAATCATTAAATATATTATGTAAAATATACCTATACAAA